TTTTATTTTAATGAAATCTATCTTATCAATTATTTCTTTCATGGAAAATGCCTTTGGTATTGTATTTAAAAGTTATTTCCACCCAAGATTACCTAGACTGCCTCCTATGTTATCTTATAGGAGTTTTATAGTTTTGTATTTTACAATTAGTTCTATGAACCACTTTGAGTTAATTTTTTTGAAGGCTGTAAGGTCTTTGTCTAGATTCATTTTTTGCACGTGATTGTCCAGTTGTTCCAGCACCATCTGTTGAAAAAGTTATCTTTCCTCCATCGTATTGTCTTTGCCTTTTTGTCAAAGTAAGTTGCTGGAATTTTTATTGAGATTGCCTTAAATCTATAGATCAAGTTGGGAAGAAATGACATCTTGACAAGATTGGGTCTTCTATCCATGAACATGGAATAACTCTTCATTTATTTATTTCTTCTTTGATTTATTTCATCAGTTTTGTAGTTTTCCTCATATAGACCTTATATAATTTTCTAAGATTTATAGCCAAGTATTTCTTTTGGGGGCTACTTATGGAAATGATTTTGTGTATTTTATTTCAAATTTTACTTGTTCATTGCCGGCATAGGAAAGTGACTGATTTTTGTCTATTAAGCTTGTATCCAACAACCTTGCTATAAGAGCTTATTAGTTTCAGAGGATTTTTTTCATCTATTCTTTCAGATTTTCTATATAGGCAGCTTATGTTCTTTTAAGGTTTGTTATACCTGTGTTTTGTTTCAGTTACGTCCAGTGGAGAAGCAGAGCTGGGGGAAGGGCAGATAGTTTTCCCTCTGGGTTCCCAGACTGAAGTGAGCAGAGCTGCAATTCAGATCAAGTTTGTGGTCAAGGCACTTGGAAGGACAGTGAAAGGATGAGACAGTAGGTGATTAAGGTAATTTCTTCACCAATTTTTCAAATCTTTTGTCTGATTTTTGTCTGATTGTTCCCCCAAGTGTTTCCTTTACCCAGATAGCCAGGGATGGCTGGAGATGCCACCTTGTTCTCAGGACCTGGTACGATGCTTCCAGAGTTTCTAGTGTGCAATTGGCTGGTCTTCAAGTTCTCTCTTTTGCAACCCTGGTTACCCATCTGGTCTTCAGAGAGGCACATCCTCAATGGAGCAACCTCAGAACTTTCAAAAAAAGATACCTTTGCTGCGTTATCCTACTCCTCTGTCCCAACCTCTTGGAAGTCCTGGGCTAAGTCAAGCGGTCCCTACAGGCAAATATTCTACAAATGTTTGTTCAATGTTGATTTGGTCATGATATGGATCAACTTTTTAAAAATCAACAAAAAATGTATTTAGAAACATATTTATCACTAATTTATTTCCACTAACTGAAGAAGAGGAAATGTTCTAAAAAAAAATTTCAACAGTCAGTTCCCATTTTTCAAAAGCTCTTTTCTCTCTTGAGTTTTGCTCATTTGTAATTTTATGAACCAGAAAACATTTTGAGAGGCATATGAGAGGGTGGGGAAAACAAACCACTCACTCTCAAGAAACAGCTTTAGGCTGCACACTAATTGATTCAGGAATCTCCGCTGACCCCTAGTGCACAAGTGCGTCTCAAAAATGTCCAGATGAGATGAGCTGCTGCTAATAAAGTGTGCTGTTTTCATTTCCCTTTGAGGAAGGACAGTGTCTCCCTCAGTGAGACTGGAACCAATTTCCATTTCCTTAGCGACATAAGGAATTGATAGAAAAATCAGAGTTAAAGGATACTGCTTTCCAGCTCATTCCAGTGAAATATTGGCGCTGATTTGTTTTTGCCAGTGTTAATTTTAAGATCCTTTTAAAATCACCCCTCCCCTCATCCACTTCTTTCCACAGCGGCCCACTGGCCTTCCTCTTTAATCTGGCTCGAAACTTTGGTCCCACCTAGTCCGGTCACATGGTTTCTTTCTAAAATACTCTTCCTTGACTTACTGACTTGATGTTGACAACTTACTTTTGCATAATTTAACTCCTCTCTTGGAACTACCTCCCCTTTAGACTTCTCTTAACTTTCACTTCTGAGGATAGAAAAAAAGTGAAGGTGTTAGAGGCTCAGTACATAATCGGCTACAGAGTACATGGACCTGACAGCCAGGACTTGCGCTTGGCTTGGTGTATGGGCGTAGTAACCCTAACTGTTCTTCATGCATCGCAATCCCCACCTTTACTCACACGAGTGTGATGATCTGATGGGGACTCTGGTCTTTAGTCGGGAGGGGAAGGGGTATGAAAAGAAGAGATAAGATTGATTCATACTGTAATTCTACACTGACCCATTGCAGCAAATATCAACTATAATTCAATTCAAAATTCCACATTCCATAAGTATATTTGGCAATATTGTTCTGGAAGGTAATTTGGAAATATGTATCAAAATCTTAAGAGTATCTATATTAGTTAAAAGACAGAAAGTTGGTTCAAATTATTTTAAGCCAAAAGGGGAACTTATTAGGTCAACTAATTGGAATAGTCTAGGGGAGCATCTTGCTTCTGGCGTGGCTGGAACCAGGAACTAGAAAGATGTCATTAGAAATCTCCCTTCCGCAGAAAACCTAAATAAGCAATTCTCCGGTGAAGACATACAAATGGACAATAGGCACATGAAAAGGTGCTCAATGTTACTAATTAGTAGAGAAATTCAAATCAAAACCACAATGAGGTATCTCCTCGCACCAGTCGGAATGGCTGTCATTAAAGAGTTCACAAACAATAAATGCTGGCTAGAGTGTGGTGCTGCACTGTTGGTGGGAGTGAAGTTTGATGCAGCCGTATGGAAAACAGTATGGAGATTCCTCAAAAAGCTAAAAATAGACTTACCATATGATCCAGCAATCCCACTCCTAGGCATATATCTGGAGGGAACTCTAATTCGAAAAGATACAGGCACCCCAATGTTCATAGCCGCACTATTACAATAGCCAAGACATGGAAGCAACCTAAATGTCCATCGACAGATGACTGGATAAAAAAGTTGTGGTATATTTATACAATGGAATACTAGCCAGCCATAAAAAAATTTTTAAAATGCCATTTGCAGCAACATGGATGGAACTGGGGATCATCATTCTAAGTGAAGTAAGCCAGAAAGAGACAGAAAAATACCACATGAGATCATTCATATGTGGAACCAAAAAAAAAGAAGAAGAAGAAGAAGACCCAAATGAACTCATCTACAAAACAGAAACAGACTCATAGACACAGTAAACACACTTATGTTTACGGGGGGGGGGCGGAAATGGGGAAGGAAGGGATAAATTGGAAGTTCGAGATTTGTAAATATAAAATAGATAAACAGCAAGTTTATACTGTATAGCACAGGGAACTATATTCAATATCTTAGTTACCTATAATGAAAAAGAATATGAAAACAAATATATGTATGTATATGTATGACTGAAACATTCTGCTGTACAGCAGAAATTGACACAACATTGTAAACTTATTACACTTCGATAAATAAAGAGAAAGAAATTCTCCCTTCTTGCTCCATCTCCCAGCTCTGCTTTCTTCTGTGTTAACCCCATTGTCAGTTCCAATCTTAAATGGTCCTTGGTGCCCATCAGAAGAAAAGATGTTTTTTATCCAAGTATCATTATCAGACTTAAGAAAAATTCCGTCTTATTGACCCTGCTTAGATCATAGACCACTCCCTGTGCCTGGAATGGTAGGAAACAGAACACTCTGATTAATCCCAGCCATGTGACAAAAAATTCCACCAGGTAGGGGAGAAGCAATTCCTAGATGGCAGCGCATAAGTGGAGTATGAGGTCAGTTCTACCATCTGAAAAACGGAAGGAATTCTGGGCAGGCAGAAACAAGGGACATCTATTTCCAATGCTCATCTTCTTCTACATGTTTACCCTTAGGAACTAATCAGAGGTGTGAGAGAGTTCCACGGTGATTCACCCCAGAATGATTTATAATAATGCAAAACCAAAAAGAATGGAAATATTCAATAACAAGGGGTTAGTGGAATAAATTATGGTACATGTATTCAGTGTAACACTATGCCACCTTTGAAAAGTGTGCTGTTCAAGAAAAAAGCGTTTATGGTATGTTGTTAAGCATAACAATAGTGTGCAATGTCCCAATTTATCCACATTTTTACACATGTACACACTTTATCTATAAAAATATCTTGTGTAAACATTTTTGAAAGACTCAAAGAATAGATAATGTTGATTACTTCTAGTTGGTGAAATTAGGAGTAATTTTAATCATTCTTGGACTTTTCTCTATTTTCTACAGTCAATATGTATTTTTTCTAATTCAAAATATTATTTTAAAAATTTAATTCCTCACTATCAATGTAAAACTGATCACGCTTATTTCTCTCGTGAAAGCAGGATCCGAAATGGAGACCCTAATCACTGGTAAAGAGCAAACTCTGGTTAGACTTTGAGGAAACTAATTTGGAGAATAAATTATTCACCCACTTTCTAAGATTAGCTAAGACCCAGATGTATTCTCCATTATGTCACATTTCCATATTTTGAGGTTTTTTGTATGCCCACTGCTAAATCTTTCAGAATTAATCAACCAGCCAGATCTATGCTCAAAGCACAGGTCCTCAGAGCTGCTCAGGGAGAGGCTCAAGGTATTCTTTCTAATCTTCACGATTACTCTTGAATGTGTCTGCAGAAAGTGAAATGCATTTCGTGCTGCTAGAGACCAGGACTTTTTCTCCATAGTATCAGAAATATTCAGATTAGAGGAAACTACTTCAGCAAAACAGAGAGAAATGAACATCCTAAATGAATAAACCTTAGCTCCTAAATCACTTACTTCACTCGTTTCAATGTTTCCTGGAAAATTCCCTACTTGAATGAGACTCTGCACCATCCAAAGAGCCTCTGGATTACCCGACTGCAGGAGAGAGGATTGAATCATTGGTCTCTCCCCAGTTTACCAACAAAATATCAGTGAGCCAAATCTTTACAAGCCCCAAAAGAAAAACCTTAATTATGCCAATGACTTTTAGAGAAGCACAACATTAAGAGGCAGGACAGAAAGCAACATTCATGTTCATTTATTTCTACCATTACTCATGTTCATCATTTCACCTAGAAGCCAGCCCGTCTCTGTTTGAATAACCCACCATCAGAGGCAGCCTGATGCCATGGGTGGGTGCTCTTAATGGAAAGGACATTTCTGTGTCTTGACACCCTTCCACCATGGGACACAACGACTTGCACAAGTTTGTTCAACATACAGTCCCCTTTATCTGGCAAAATTGTTCTTGTCTCTCAGGTAGGAACTTTAAGTGTATCTAATACAACAGTTGCCTATACAATACCCTTTCTTTTTCCTTATTAACAAAACTCCAAATGTCTTTGGGATGGCAATATGTACAGCTTAAAACCTCCTTTTCCCAGGGCAGCATACCTGGGGATGTCCCACTCAAATCCCCTTGCTTCAGGAAGGGATTTGCTTCCCATTTCAAAGCGTGTGGTTAGCTGACAATCTTCAGTTACTAGCTGAGATCATGCCCTCCTCAGGACAGTCCCCGGCCAATGACTAAGCAAGATGGTAGTACAGAGGCAAAGCCATTTCTACCCAACGCAGGGTTCCCCTAGCGAGCAGCCCTTGCTCTGGACCTGCAGCCGGGCTGGCAGAAATTTTGTCAAGTCTGCATCAAGGAATGCTGGCTCCCCCTGCCCAATTCAGCATCCTGCTCTTTTCACAGGTGTTATTCCCCTAAGCCTTTTTCACTCCTCACTGTCTCCGCATCTGCTTCCTGAAGAACACAACCGGCAACACCCAGCTTCCTTTGTGGCTTTGGGCAGCCACACGACACAGTTCTGGCCAGTGAGGTGTAAGCGGAAGTTGCAAGCTGGGAGTCTAGAAAAGCACTGGAAACAGAAGCAGTCTCAACTGACACGCACCTTTTGGTCTTTGCATTTTCCCTTCTTTTTGCCTGGGATACAGATGTGTTTTGAAGGGTGGGAGGTAAAAAATACAAGGTCTAAAACCACATACTGAGGATGGCAGGGTAGAAACCTGAAACAGCCTGGGTCCTGGAAAGAATTGTGAAGGGATCATACTAGCCTTGGACTGTGTACCTTTCTTATTTTGTGTCACAAATAACCCCCTTACTTCTTTAAGACTTGATGTGGAAGGCATTACAGTGGAATGTAAATCTAGTTAATTCACAGGACATAGGAAAATGTTCTTGGTATGGAGCATGTTGTTAAGTAAAACCTGTAGGTTATAGAATATGTACAGAGCATGGTCCTAATTATTTGTGTGTACATACATGCTCACATATGTGTAACTTTTATATACACATTTTTACACATATACACACTTAATCCATATAAAGCTAAAACATGTGCTTAAGAAGAGGCGGGGCATGGTGATATCCACCTATCGAAATGATAGGGGGTCAGCAGTTAAACGTCAGTTTATCCTTGCCTTCTCCGGTAATTGTTTAACTCATGGGGAATAAAACAATCAGCATGTGAAATATTTCATGTGCGAGACGGAAAGCAAACGTTTATCAATTGTGTAATACCCGTACTGATTTACCCAGGAAACTGCAAAGCCCAATGCTGCATATAATACAAGCCAAGCAACTCTTTTCCTAGTAAAGTAAGAGAATTGCAGATTTCTACCATGGCATCATCTGGGAGTTCCCAATGACAAGGCAGGACACCCAACCTCTAAATTTCTTTTTTTTTTTACCTTTTGTTTATTTATTTTAATTTTGAGGGGGTCATTAGGTCTATTTATCTATTTATTAGTAATTTTTTTAATGGCTGTACTAGGGATTGAACCTAGGACCTCGTGCATACTAAGCATATGCTCTACCAGTTGAAGTATACCCTCCCCTCAAACTTTAAATTTCTGAATAACGAAAACCAGGCTGCTACCCAGGCATGAGGTAGTAGAAAGGGTTTGGCACCAGAAATCAGAAAATTTGAACTGCAGACCTAGCGGCTGAATGGCTACATCTGTGAAGGTTTGTCTTACCTTTCTCACAGGGTGTTGTGGAAATCAAGTGAGATAATTACTGTAATAAGATACACAAATATAAATTAATAATAACAACAATAACCACCACCAAGACTCTGTCTGCCAGGCACTGCTCTACATCGTTTTTACATTTTAACTCATTTAATCCTCACAACAACCCAACATTATGCAATGTGACTATGAGACCCAGAAAACTAGGACCTCGAATATCCTCAGGGCCATTCTCTCTGTGTTTTATGCGTGGCCACCCTGATGTATTTATTGTGAAGCAAACATGTTTCACTGGTATTTTCATATGTTAATGAATAACAGGAAATTAAAAAAGATGTGTTTAATTATGATCACATTGAACACTGAGACACTTGTACATCTTTGTGCTTCTAATTATTCTTTTTAGGGGAGAGGCGGAGGTAATTAAGTTCACTTCTTTATTTTTAGAGGAGGTACTGGGGATTGAACCCAGGACCTTGTGTAGGCTAAGCATGCACTCTACCACTTGAGCTATATCTTCCCCCCTTAATATTTTTTTAAGAAAAGAAGACACATGGATCAAGGAAACTGTTGAAGAGGGAGGACCTCCCTTCACCCTTTTCTCGGGGGTCTGCCTTCTCCCAGAGCAGAGGGAAAGGCACTGCACTTCTGTCCTCTCTCGCTTCACGCCTTTCTTGGCTGCTCCTCAGAGGAGTGACTGAGGCGACTGGTCAGAGCTGGGGACATTCGTTGGACTGGTTTCCCTGGTGGGTAGACCTGCTTTCAAGGCCAAAGGTCGGTGCTCGTGACTGTTCTGTTCACTTCCAAAGCCAGGTCTGACGTCACTTCCTGTCGGAGTGGCAAGTGCAGGTGGGCGGGGCCCGGGGCCCATGTTTTGAAGAGAAACTGGGGTCCCTGCGTTTGTGTGCCGTCGGGGTAAGCAGCCAAACAGCAGGCGCTGTTCTGAAGGCCCGGCTTGTGTTTCACAGCCGCGAGCCTGGAAATGCAGGTACAAGGTCAACTGATCAGTGCGCAAAGGAGGAAACCCCAGGGCAGGCTCGGCCAGACTCAAAATTCAGCCTCCAGCACTGCGGCTTATCGCGGCCTTGCATTCCGGGGGGACGGCCTGGATTAGGAGAGCGGCGTGTATCCTTGTCATTCGCCTAGTGACCTTTTCACGTGTGTTCCTAGAAGAGAAGAGGGCTGGTGGCACCTTAATCCCCTAAAAGAAATCCAAACTGTGACTTAAGAAGCCTTATCTCTTTTCCTGGGTGGAACTGTATTTTCTGCTATGCCTCCAGGTTGTGGCATAGGAATTGCCCTGGAGTAGTGGCTTTAAAAATGTTTCCTGGATGAATTAATAGATTTTGTTTTTGTTTTTTTAAGTGGAGTGTGAAAAAAAAAAGTTAGGTAAAACAAGTTTCCAGAAAGATGAGAAGGTAAACTTAGACTGGGTCAAGGAGGATCTCGGCATTGACAGAGCCAAGCCAAAGTACTCAGAACTAAAGAAAGCCTGCACGTAGGAGCCAACAAAAGTATCCATACTGAAGGGCCAGAGCCAGAACACAAGCGCAGACATCTTTAGGCAGCAGCTGGAATTAAAATTAGCTGCCGACAGGTGGGCTGCTCTGCTGCAAAGCCCCCAACAAGCAGGTCTTGAAATACTGACTATCTGACTCCCCACAGTTAAAACATCTTAAAAAAAAATGTAATATTAAAAAACAAACAAAAAAATCTTCAGCTGTTCAATCAAGGTATTTGTCAGTACCATGTAATTTACATGTCAAAGAGGAGCAAACGAGTAGATGATACAGCCAGTCCCCTAAAAAAAAAGTTTAACGAATTAATTAAATCTTATCGAAATAACACATGTGCAGTTAAAACAAATAGTAAACAAACAAACAAAGGCTTATAATGAGAAACAGCAGTTCCTACTTCACCAATCCCCTATAGGTGACTCTTTCCTTCTTACCTATTTCTTCTGGTGTATTTCTAAATAAAATGCTTGTATCGCCATTTCTTGACTAATTTTGGAAATCTACTGACTTCTTTTGATGGAGGATAAAACTGTAACTCTACCTTTCCTAGTCTCATTCATTCCATAGAGTTAGGTCACAATATCTGAGGGTAAATCAATAATATTATCACAACTATGCAATTGTTACTTACTATTGAAATAAATAGTGGGTTGTTTCTCATTTGTTTGTTTTCTCTTTCTATTTTTCCCACAGTTAACCACTGCCTCATTTGTTCAAGTGCTTAAATTTCCAGTGTTATAATCCTTATTTTTTCTATCAATTTGTTGTTCTTGTAGCAATGGTTGTTTTCCAAATGCCAGACACATCAGCTTATTCAACTGAATTTATTTTTCCCTCAAGCCCTCCACTCTGGACTCCCAAATCCCAGCTGCAATCCTGACTGGTTTTGAGACACAAGATGACACCCGAGGACTTTATTTTGTCATTTTCTTATGTTGGATCCTCTATTCTTAGATCTCCTCTCTCAGTTATATTGAGTTGATGACTTAATAGTTTTTCTAAGTATCAGCATTTATTTTTCTGCTTTGTAGTCCTCTTTATCGAGTGTTAGGACAAGATGCCATTAAACTATTCTAAAAATGACACACACTAGTGTTTAGGAGAAATAACAGTGCCATCAAACTAACCGGCAGGCAGTACCGCCGTGACAATCCTTCATCCCTCAGACATTATTCAGTGTCCGGAAGGTAAAGCGTTACAGAGCCACGCACAGAAAGTACTGCCAGGGTTGTGCTCAGGTGTCTGTGGGCTCTAGATAAGCTACTCATTTGATGATTCTTCAAACCAGTATCTTAAAAACATTCCCTTAACTTGTGTGTACATGTGATTAAGGGATCAACTGCTTTTCTGCAAATTGAATCTGTATGCTTTTTCCTCCTGTCTCTAACCCTGATGCCGTCGGTATACTCACCCTCTTTTTTAAGCTTCCCCCAACAAAACTCCATTTAACAATAATGTTAATGATTCCAGTACTTTTTTTTTTTCTGAAAATTCCACTGAAGAACAGTGAAGAGCTTTTTACCAAAGGAAAAAAACAGGAAGGAAGGAAAGGAGTCTATTAGCTTTATCTCTACTTTCAGTCTCTATGTCTGGCTTGAAACCACTCTTTCTCCCCCTAGCCTGAAGCTGGAGCTGTCCCTGCCTGCTTGCACTCTCTCCTCCCCTCCTAAACTCTCTCTTACACCAAACATTTCTGCTCTGCCCCAGCCCCTTGTTCCAAACTTGCACAAGAGCCATTTGTTACTACTTGCCCCTGTCTTCCCATGTATCAAAGGCTCTTGGACAGATCCTCCAGTTAATGTGTATCCCTTTTCCTTAGAAGTCAGGAAAGGATGATTAATCATAAATAAATTTGCCTCTGGCATGTTCAGATTCAAAGTAATGGATTATTAAATGCATTAAAATAACAGTTGGCCTAACTTCAACTTCTCTATTTATATAAGGAGGTGCATGTAAAAAATCTGGGTTTAGCGGCATCAAATTTCCAGTTGTGCCAGGGTTGGGGACACGCTTTGTGCCACTTACAGATTCCTGCCTGGGCAGCTGGCTGACGGATCTAACACTGAGAGCGGGTTAGTTGAGAGTGGAATCAAGGAAATCAAGACCCACAGAGTTTTCCAGAGAAAGGCAAGCCAAAAAGAGCCCTGGGGGTGGGACCTGGGCACATAAAGCAGCGTAACATCCAGTCTTTGGTTCTCTGGACTTTGATGGAGACCCTTGGCACTTTCAGTTATAAATTAATTACTGTAATCACAGTGCTTTCTCCACAGCACTGTTATGACAACTACGTAAGCTGAGACACAAGAGACATTTAGAGCCCTGCCTGGCATATCATAAGCCCTCATCTGCTAATAGAAACACTGGCTACGGCTTTGTTCTCTGACCTGTGTGGTTGAGGCTAGTTAACCTGTTTTTCATCCCCCGGAAGCCAGGCCTGGTTTCAGTAAAGGACAAGAGAAGTCAGCGTGTCACTCAAGGAAGCCTTGAGTCAAAATTGATCTGACTTCCTGGTCCCTCTAGGAGGAAGCCTCTGCCGTCCACTCCATTTTCCACAGAAGTTAAATTTCCTTGCTCGGAATTATGACCTTTTTGACCAGGTCTTTGATGCCTCTTGCTAGAACTCTCTGACGCCAGTCACTTGTCCATACGGGTCTTTGCTAATTAATTATCTGCAGCTCTGTCCTCAGCTCCACTGTATTTCTTCTTCACTGCTTGGGTAGCGATGGTTGCTTTGACAGTGGTTCTGACCTTTCGCTAATAGCACATGAACACAGAGTGTTTGAATTAGTATTGAGTTCAATTACATAAAATAGAAAACTAAAACAACTAGCGTACACAAGTAAGAAATTTGGGCATTTTTTCTCACGTAAGATAAATCCAGGCTGTCGAGTTGCTCTGTAATGTCTTCGGTGTTCACCAGTCTCCCTTCTCAGCCTATAATCCCGTCTATAGTGGTGGATTCCACCGTCAGGGTTGCCTCCTGATTACCAGACAGCTTCTGTTGCTTTATCTTCCAATTTTTAACTCCCTGTTTCCTCTCCCTGTCCCTAGAGTAGTTAGCCAATCTTAGTTTTCACTAGGGTTTCTCATCAAGTACAATTCCAATATTACAATGCCTTTATTTTTAGCAGCACAATAAACTCCATCGTATATTGGAGGTTTCCCTTGAGAGGCGAACAGAGGGACAGGCACTTAGCTCATAACTGAATTCTAATGTAACTTGTCACGTTAATTGTGTAGCTTAAATCTTTGGGTCCTCCGCCCTATGTAAAATGTCTTCTCTCTCTGCTTTTATAGTACTTCATTAACTTTAAAGTAACAAGTATAGAAATAAAAGTGATGATGTAATTATTTTAAAAGAAGAGCAGAGGGGAAGCTAAGGAAGATGTGGGGAAGCGAGCTGTTTCACCATCATTGTAATAGGATGCCAATAAACCATGCTTACCATTGATAAATTATAAATTGTTAAATGTATAGATTATTTTTAAATGTTCCTTTTGGATTTGGGTGGAGTGGGGCAGGAAGCTATTGCCTTTTTTAAAAAAAAATTTTGGGGGGGAGGTAATTAGGTTTTAATTAATTTATATATTTTTAATGGAGGTACTAAGGATTGAACCCAGGACCTCGTGCATGCTTAAGTGTGTGCTCTACCAACGAGCTGTACCCTCCCACCATTGCGTTTCAATATAAATTACTGTGTATTGTTAAGATTTTTAAAAATCCTGTGATTGAATTTTTTCCCAGGAAATTAAATACAAAGAGGAGAGCACTAACTATGCATGGAATTTTATCTTCTTGGAATAAACAGGATGGCGTAGCAAGAGAGCTGTTACAATTAATCAGTAATAGTGACCAACAGAGTGGACCCTAGGAATCAATGAACAGGCAAAGGTTGTGTTTGGTGCCCTCAAACCACCACATTTTTCTTTTTTACAGACTTCTTTCCTTTCCGTCCACCAGACAGCTACTATTTTCATTCTTCAGACACTTCTCACCTGCAAGGATCAGAAATTTATCTACTCCACTGTAAATTACCAAAGAAGCTTAAAGTATTACTTTCTTTGTGGATATTTTGATTGAAAAGATTGGGAGCTTTCACAATCAAGGAACAAAACTGGGTAGAACTCTGGGTCTCAGTTGCTAGAGAAAAACTCTCTGGGGTAGCAGGTTTCCCTAGAACTCCTGAAACTGGGGTAAGGAAGTGATTAGTTAAGGTTTACTTGTTGGTAAGGTGGTCAGATTACGAATCATTTATTTGCTGTAGAACTTTGCGTGATATGATTATCCTAAGAAATTAAGGTCATTTCTCCAACTTAACTTTACAATGAAAAACAAAACAAAACAAACACCAGTCTTGGGCAGAGTACCTAAGCTTCTAATTCAGAGCTCTGTTTTAAATCAGGCCATTGTAACACAACTGTAGATTTGACAGGGGCTGCTCTGAAATGGATCCCTTTGTGACAACTATAAGGTATAGTATATATAGAACTGCTCCAGCTTAAACACTCTGCTACAGTATAGGCAGATGTAATGTGCTTTTTAAAATCTCTTTATGTTGGTAGAATAGAAGAAATACCTTGTTCCTTTTTAGTTTTATAGATTTAAAAATTGAAGTAATTTTATGTTGTTTTTGCTCATTCCAAAATAATCCACATTCATGGTAAAAAGTAAAACAGCACAGAAGTACACATAATATACTGTGGTGAGTTGTGTTTTCCAAAGGAGGTTGCACAGTATATAGTGCAGCCCACACTCTCTTCTCTAATGAGATGCTGACACTTTTCCATCAAGAGGTGGAGTCTGGAACTCACAGAAACAGAGAACAGATCAGAAGGCCCTTTCGCCAGGGCTGGGGTTGAGGAATGAGGGGAACGGGTGAAGGTTGTCAAAAGGCACAAACTTCCAGTTACAAGATGCCTAAGTTCTGGGGATGTGATGTACAACATGGTGATTCTAGTTAACAAAACTGCATTGAATATTTGAAAGTTGCTAAAAGTAGATTTTAAAAGTTCTCACCACACACACACACAAAATTGTAATCGTGTGAGGAAGATGGATGTGTTACTTATTGTGGTAATCGTTTTGCAACATATACACATACAAAATCACTACATCGTATACCTTAAACTAATACAATGTTGTATGTCAATTTTATTTCATTAAAGCTGGAGGGGGAAGAAAGGTAGGGGTCTAGATTCCTCCCCTTGGACCTGAGCAGACCTTTGTAGCTGCCTTTGACCAGGAGAACGTGGCAGGAGTAACCTCGAAGGCTAGGTCATAAGTGGTAGCAGCACTTCTGCCTGCTTCTCGCTCGCTCTTGGCATCAAAGGATGACTTGGAAGCTGCCCACATCTCAGCCCAACCCATTTCAGGCTGGGTGGGCGTGAGGCTCATGACACTGCACTAACTCAGTTGGGCTCAGACACGGGGTATGGGAAGTCCCTGCAATGGAGGGCCGGCAAGTAAAGTAAGCCAGAATGGTTGGAGACTGTCTTCTTTGGTCTGGACAGAGGCCATGGAAAGACTTGGCTAAAGAAAAGGTCAGTCAGGTGGTCCAAAGTTCAATGTGTGAAGGGCAAACCCAGCTCGGATATCACGACCGCATGAGTGAAGATGGGGCCGGTGTAATTTGGAAGTCAGTTGGGACATTGGTCAATTATCTGGATATCTGCCCAGATACAGCAGACTTAATACCCATGAGCAGGGAGTTTTGGGTGCAGGATCCAGCTCCTGCAAGGAAAGGCTGGAAGATGATGGTTTGGGTAGCAAGGTCCTAGCCCTAAAGAGTTACTTGACTACCAGTCAGGGAAACTCAGAAGGAGAAACTAGACAAAGTTGAAGGTCAACTAAAGACAACGTAAACATAAGGCACGGTAAATGCCATCGTGAAGGAAACTCAGGGGGCACGACTCTGGGAGTCCAGGGCTATGCTACCAGGCTCAGGGACCCAGAAGCATGACTTTATTCGAGGCCACCTTGGTGAGGCCACCGCTGCTGAGCTAGGTCCTGAGGGTGATGAATCCTAGAGGGGGCAAAGACAGAAGACCAGCGGGAGCTCTAACAACACATCGGACTTTCCTTCTCAGCATCCCTGGTTCCCTCCTAGTGTCCTCTCACCCCTATTCATCTTCTTACATAACTCCTCCTGCCCACAGTCCCTCTCCCTCTTTCCAGGTAAGCTGATCCTATACCTGCTGGCTTTTAAAAGCCAAGAATATTTGGTCCACCCCATTTCTTGTCGTATTCTGGTTATCTGCTTACAGATCCCCTCCACTGTGCTGGATTTGGGACTGTGCGTTTTGCATTTTCACGTCTCTCCACAGTACACAACACAGTGCTCGTAGGTTCTTTTTATTAGACGCTCATAACCTTTCCCCTTTCTTTTAGTTCAAATGTCAGCAAACTACAGCATGTGGGCTAATTTCAGCCCACTACCTGTTTTTGCAAATAAAATTTTATTGGGACACAGCCACGTTCATCATTTATATATTGCCTATGGCTGCTTTTGCTTTAAAACAACCGTGTTAGTTCATTGTGACAGAAATCTTACAGCCTACAAAGCCAGAAATATTTATTATCTGACCATCTACAAAAAAAGGCTTACCAATCCTTGTTCATTTTTTGTAAGGAAAGAGATGTGCACTTTGGACTTATTCCATTAAACCACTCTGCTTTCCCTCTTGCCTTAAAAATCTACAAGCATTAGAATTGTGCAGTATTTTGAGGAATAGTCATCATTAAATAGAATCTCAGTTGGGAGGGGATTAAGGGCCCTGTAGTAAATTCACGTACAACCAAAATATCTAAAAAAGTGTCTGGTTATTATTAAAGAATAATGACCTGACATTTTAGATTTGTAGATAATTTTCCCTGAACCTGGATAATATGAACCTGCCACGTGTTCTCCTCCGCAACTGGAGTTAATCTCTCCTCCCCCAGTGCCTTCAGAACACGTCATTCTCTCTGTTATGGCATCTATTTCAGTTGGCTTTGCATTCATTTCTTTTCATGACCGTACTTCCAGACAAGGGCTATAAGCACCCTGTGGTGAAGAACTCTTTCGTCCAACCCCGTAGCCTCCACAGTTTTCCCAAAACAGGTATTGCTAAGTGGTGATTGAATGAATGAATGTCATTAAGGCAAATGTGAAAAATACATTTACGATACATTGATCTTATGACACCACAGGCAAACCCTCAGCAGGGTTCTTCGTACTACACTTCACGCAGGCGCATTTTCAATCCTGTTTATTCCGCTAATATCCCTGTTTAATTTGCTCACATATGTGTAAAGGAAAGAAGTCATCTCAAGAATGCCTACTGTACAATGGCACTCTGTTGTTAAAAACAACAACAGCAAGACAAAACAATTCTCTTGAAAAAGTAAATGCCTTGCCTGAGGCCATTTTCTCAGGAAACTAACATTATTGTGAACCAGAACACCCCTCTGGACTTCACTTCCTTAACTCTTTCCTTTACTATCAAACTTCAGCAGGTAAGGAATCCCATTTAGCCATCCAAGTGATGCATGATCAGAGGCCTGAAGTAATGTTTATATTCCAGGCTCGGTGGACGCTAACTAGGGAAACAAGGCATCTCTAGGGAACTTCACTTGCCTAAGTAGAGCTCTTGGTTGCAAGGTGATAGAAACACAGCTTGAATTTAAGAGAAGGGGGTGAGGGGCAGGGGTTGCTCGTTCGCAAAATCCAAGAAGGAGGTGAACATCCAAATGATGGGGAAAACTGGGAAGCAGCAGAGCATCTGAAACAATGGGAACCAGAGACTAGAAAGCTGCCAGAACTCTCTCCTTCTCCATTTGGAATCTGCTTTACTCCACATACTTCCTCATTCTCGGTATAGATCAGTCTTCTCTACCGGGAGGAAATCTAACCATACATAGTTCTTTTTTTTTTTTCTTTCAAATCTTGCAGCTTTATTCCTAGAGAGGGGCAATGTCTCAATTTTAATTAGAAAAATCCCAAAGAAAACCTTTGGGTCCACCTTGG